ATGACTTAACTACATTCGGAATGGTCTTGTGTTTCTCTGTCACGTTGATAGGTAATTGGGTCGAACCTATTTACCGCGACTCAGGCGGCATCGAAAGCAGCCACGTTGCGACGAAGCGTGTTGTGCTTTTGTGACGAAACTATCTCTCGCTTGCCATTCGAAGAATGCACTGTCAATACCATCAATCCTTATCCGGCGTGAAGTTACGGCATGTGTGTTGACGCGCTTTCCTTTCAACCAAGAAATGCCAATCATCCGTGAGAAAAAAAGTCCTCGAATTTATGAAAAGTGCTTAACCTAAATATTTTCCGTAGCATTATGCTCAATCGATAAGTATTTCCCGAATCTAATATTGCACAGGCTTTTCTCAATTTACAAATGTAGACACTATAAAATATTTATACCTTTTATGTTAAGAATATTTATATGATATTATGTAATATCAAGGTATTAAAATAAATAACATTAAAATAACATTATCAATGCGATGCGCTTTACATTTAAGAAATTAAAATATTTTGTGATGTATTCATTTTTTGAATACCGTATTTCCATATTTTGGTATGCAGAATATTCAGGAAAATCGATTTACGTAAAAAAATATACGATTCAATTTAAGGGTTTAGAATACAATAAAATGTTGAAAAATTGAAAAAACTTGCCTACTTAAATGCTATTTTAAATACGAAAATTGATTAGTGAAAATTTAAATAATTTATTTAGTATTTTAACTTTTAATTTTTCTTCTTTAATAGTGATTCATATACTCGAACTTTTAAAACTGCAACAAACTGCACAATTCACAGAATTGCATTTCCACGCTCGTTAGTTTTCTAGGAAAAATATATTTCCTACCTCTTAACTTTTGAGGGTTGCTTCCGCCCCTTCAATCTGATCGATGGACGATAAAAAAGAATATATATGTGGAAAGTACTTTTCTGAGAACTATCTTTCCTGCGAATTTCATAAAAATCGGTGTGCTTCCTTTATGTAAGTTGGAACGATTTCAATTGTGTCCATAAAAGTCTGTTTCTGGCAAGTTCTCTCTTCTCTTCGGCAGCACGAAGATACAGATTGAAAATCTAATATGTTTTACCCTTTCACGCGAAAATAAGAAGTACTTCCTGTTTCCTTTAGACATTTCTATCGTTATTAGTTCAGAACGCTTACAAGCGTGATGGGAAAAACGTGCGAGAACTGTGGGGCTTGCGGTGTACCCACAGCCAACCACTTCGTTTCGCGTTTGTTTACTTTCGTCAAATGCGTATCGAAGCTGAGTGAGTGTTTTCCTGCAGACCTGCTCTCATTGGTTTAAATATAGGGCACCGATCGAAGGCTCGTAAAAAATGGCTTAAATTGCGTTTGCTGGACTTGGAACGGCTTTTTCGGGGATAAACCAGGCGTTCCATTAATAAAAATGAAATGAGATCTTTTAAAAGCTGCTGCCTTTTTATCGGAATCTAGGCTAAACCGTCATTAACAGGTGTCAGGATAGTAATTGAACGGAAATGAAACTACAGCGAGCATTTAATGTGAAAATGAAAGACATTAATGCGTTCCGTGCCATGTGGTACATCCGCAATTTTTGTAAGGGAACATTTTTGTGGGACCTGTGTCAAAGAATAGCGGTACACGTCGCGAAGCAGCGAAAGCGTAAAGAAATAGTAAAAACATATATATAAAAACCACCAAAACTTGTAACTCAATATTTCATTAAAATAATTAGTGCACTTTATAAGCAAGGTATAGCCGAAATTTCCGGTGGCACGGAATGTGTTAATACCTTATCGTATATTTTTTGTCACTAAAATTATCAGACAGGTCAGAATGGCCCATATCGAGTTTTTGTCTTTGCAATTTTCAAAAAGATACATAGGCTTTAAAAACAAAAATTGTTGACTAAATTGGTTCACTAATGTGCGTTCTAAAGTATAATTCAATCGAAATTTTAATAAATGCATTTTTGTAATTTATATGGGAAAATACGTGTTAGGCGATTTGATTGTTTAATAGTTCTAGTGTGAAGTATTTCTATCTAGTTACTTTTTCTAAATATTTCAATTTTAACGTTACGTAGTGCTGTTATTTTTATTCAGTTACTATCCTGACACATTTTAAGGACGGCTTACCCTTCACTTCTTCATATTCTTTAATCTTCACTCACAAGTAGGGTAAAAGTGTTTATAATGTATTTAGCAGTGAACGTGGTAAGAAGACGTCAGGATCAGACTAAACGAAAATGAAATTATACCAACTAATGTGAGGATAGAAATATTTAGGAAAGTAAATAAGTAGAAATATTCGAAAGATATAGGAGAAAGCATTAATATCTATTTTCGCTTGGAAATGAGGCAATAGTGTTTATAATTAATATTATTTGGAAGTGCACGTAGTCAAAGGATGTCAGGATAATGATTAGAAAGAAAATAAAACCACAGATAATATGAAAATAAAAGTACCTAGGAAAAGTAAGTAAATATTATTGAAATATTTACACAATTGCAAATGATGTAAAAGTTTAAATATTTATACTTCTTTCAAAATCAAAGATGTATACTGAATAAAATTCTGAGGGAGAGTTCTTCCGAAATATGTTTTGTTTTTTTTCAATGAAATTTAAAACATTTTCAACGGATTTTACTTCAGTATTATGCATACATGTAAGGTCAGCGGAATTAATTCCGCTTACACTCTTTGCGAGAAAATATACGGATGCTTGAAATCTTTAATCCTTTGAACAGTACAAATCATACATATGTAAGTACATGTTTACGTATACCTACATACATATATCCATGTATTTACTCTTTTATCGTCTAAAGTCTATCTAGTACTTGTATATATTTGAAGTTTGTACTCATAAAAATGTAAATGAAAAGAATTTGTTATAAAAATATTAAATAGAAAAATTTTAAAAGGATATATTTTGATATATTATGCGGCTTTATCAATAACAATAATAACAAATAAAATACTAGAATTTGTATATTGAATCTTCTACAGGAATATCTATTTCAGAGGATCAACGAGTAAAGATAAAACTACAATAACTGCTCAGAAGGTTAGGTTAGAAGATAAGTTGTCTGACGAAGTGTAAATGTAGAAACTTCCAGATTTATCTTCACGTTTTCAAGTGGAAAAGTGGTAACGAGTTTACAAAGTTGAAGGCTTTAGAAACGGTTGTTCAGTTTACCCATTTTTTACGTTGTCTTAATAGGGTGACCTTTTCACCCTCCAACAATGGATGACTCGATATTGGATCATATTAAATATTTTACTATGAATAATGCATACTTGCATTAAATAAATATTGACATAATTTATAAAACATACATTTCATCAGACTTTGAAGAAAATTTCCCACTAGACCACAAATTATTTCAGATATTTAATATGAAAAAAATCAGCTGGTTAATACATGCTCTACGAAATTTGAGTTATTGGATGCAGATTTTTATGCATTTGTGGAAAATTTCGAAGTGTAAACTTGCACAGAATATACACAACAAAATGTGTGAATCATCTAAAGTGTAGTGCTTTTTGTAACATTTGTTAAGAATATCCATTTTATATCGTTTATGGTTTCTTAATTACATTCTTAACACATTTGGGACCACATAAAATTTTCTAAAATTTATACCTGAATACCTCCAGTGTCTGCTATTTAAATGTTTATGGTATTTAATTAATTAATTTAATTAAAAATTATGGTGTAGTTTACTGATATTCAACTAAAAAAATGAAAAATGACGTAAAATTGTATGACTGGTATTCAGCCAAAAGAATTAAAAATAATGTAGGACTACGTTATTGGTACTCAACTAAAAAAATTACAAACAACGTAAGACCACGTTACTGGTGTTCACCTAAAAGACTCAAATATGACGTAAAACTACGTTACTGATATTCAACTGAAGAATTTAAAATAACATAAAATAAAAATTGAATTTCCACATAAACCTACAGTCCAACTGTGAACCCAACTGCTCCGTCGTTAAGGTGTTAAGTCGTTCAAGAAACAAATCACAAAGTAATTATTGCTTTTAACCGTATTCAACCCTTGAACTGTAAAGTTTTTATCGTCGATTCTGGATAAGCGTTCCCTTACGAAAGAACTCATTCGCTTTCGCGCGAAACGGCGCAAGAACGTGGCGCACAGTGAGCTGGATGGGGAAAATAGGTGACATTTTGTTACAACTCTTCAACCATAGAAGGTATTGGGATGTAATTTGCACTGAGACTCATTAAATAGTCATTATTATCTAATGAGAATCATTATAATATATTTTATGTTTTTAAATACTTTTAATTAATTGTTTAAACAGTATTATCTTAAAAAAGTTGACTAATTATTTATTTTTTACTTCTACTGTTTCTGTGTACATGTATATTATGAAGTACTAACTCTTGAATGCAAAAAAAGTAATTGAAATAAATGTAAAATATGTTAAACACATAATACAGTGAGATATTTAAACAATATCACATAATATTCTTACCAAAACAGTTTACAAAGTATGTATAAATTACTGTTAAATCAGTATTTTCGTGCAACTTTGAACGATAAAAACTATTAAGTTGGAACGAGTTGGGAAATGATTTTTTCATAATCTTGTAAAGAAAACTATGCTGAATACATTCCAATTCGTTTGATCCTAGGATTCTTTCAAAGTGCATCACGTAGAAGTGAAGCAATTATTCTTTTGAGAAATAGTACTTTTAAAATGCCTAACTTATGATGCTCGTTACAACTACAATATTTTCTGAATTATTTTAATTTCTTCGTTTCCGAGGTTTATAGACATTTCAGAACAAAAATATATTCAGTAGTTGTATAATTCCAGGAAGTTGACTTTTTGGCAAAATGTCACCTACTTTGCCGATCCAGCCCACTGAGCGGCGGCGCGACCGGTTTTATGAGTCACCGTGTGTACATAAGCATCTCGAAACTTTAAATTGCACGCGAGTTGCTCTACGAGTTCTGTGGAACTTTATTTCAGTTCTGTTGCTGGTGGAAGCTGGATGGCTGTGTGCAGGTGTAACGTGGTTAACGCACTACTACCAATCCTGCCCGGTCGACCAAGTCAGGGATGTAATGTTAGGTAAGTGGAGGTTTTTCGCGGGAAAACTCGGCAGCTGTTCGCTCGCATTTCCGTCGTCGCGTGGCATTAAACGGCAATGACTTCCTCGGCCGGGAAATTCTTTACGGTTCTAATTATACGACCGAAACTTTCCGTTTTCCGATATACGTAATCGTGTCCGCGAATCGAACTTTCTTAATATCGAGCTCGCTGGAACTTGTTGGCCGAGAATTGAGAGATCGAGTGGAACAAATTTAAGAGACAAATTAATCGTTCTGGGTATTAGTTAATTGAATTATCTGAAATTACTTAAATCAATAATTCAATTAATGCGTTCGTTATCGACATTTCTTCCGTTGACAATTCTCTCAGCTGTAATATTTTGTTAAATATAACAAAATTTCTATATAAAATATTGAACAAATGGAACTAAAACGAATCACTGAGTCAGGATATAATGTCGTATCTTGTAACTTTAAATAATAATACCCGTAGCGTTAATTTCATTTTCTTTCTGTAAAGCAGGAATTCTCAAACTTTTTAAATTTTGTACTACATAACTAAGAATAAAAAAATATGTGAATCACCATAAAAGCATTACATCAAAGAGTAAAATATTTGAAATTTATATTATGTCATTATATTCGTAAATGAAACTTTTACATTACAATAAAATATAGTAGAGATTTATTATTGGATTTATGATTGTATAAGTCAGGTTCAAGTTCTTGTCATTAAATAAGTAATATTTTTCAACAAAAAAGTTCAAAATATTTTGTATAACAATTATACCACTAAAAATAACGTAATATGCCATTAGTGGTACATATACTACAATTTGAGAAACACTGGTGTAAAGTATAGTGTAACCGTTGCAAATACAGTCCCAAAAAAATTAATTTCTCGCGTTATAATTATGGTACGGGAAAGGTGCAAATGACACATAAAGACTACCTTCTACTAATATATAAACACTACCTATATTGGAATTTTTACAAGGTATTCTCTTAGGAGAAATGTAAACACACAAATAGACAAAGACAAAATTATAGCACACTCAAGGTTTATTTAGATTTTCTTCAATATGTCGCAAGATTTAAGGAAGTTAAAGTGGTCCAGTCAGTATTTAGTGCTTCTTGATATTGGTATCTGTCGCATTTCGTGATGGGTCGTGGTAAAAAATTGTCTGACAGTGAAATAAACGCAATTCTTATTTTAAGAAAACGGAAAGTAACGATTAGAGAAATTGCGAAAGAAATTAATCGAAGCAGAACAGCTGTATATAACGTATTAAAATATGTGGATAACTACGGTAAAAGGAAAAGCACTGAAAGGCCAGCAGCCTTATCACACATACGTTACAAAGGGAAAACGGATATTAATTTTATACAAAGAAAAATGAATAATGAAGGTTATTTGAGATTAATTAAAACGAAATTGATAAGTATGCACAATGTATTGCAGGTACAAAATTTGTGTTCCAGCAAGATAATGCTGTGAGACAAACGGCAAAAATTATTCATGAATATTTTTCAAAGGAGAAAATTTCTGTTTTGGAATGGCTGGCGTACTCCCCCAACCTCAATATAATTGAGAACTGTTGGGGATTATTATTAAAAGCTGTCTACGTAGAAGGTAGACAATTTGAAAATTTAAATGATTTAAAAATCTGTATTAAAGAGAAATGGAAAAATTTATTACAATTTTCAATTAAAATATTGTATAAATCCTTACTAAAACGAATGATAGAAGTAATTGATAACCACGAAGGTCTCACACATTATTAAACACAAGTTCAGTTATATCATTTTCATATCTGTGCATTTTAAATTTATATTATATGGAATATTTGTCAGATGTTTTATTATTTTATCTATATTCATTTGGGTATTTGTATTTTTACTAAGAGAATTCGTTGAAGAAAAGTCAATAAAAGTTATGTTTACATATTAGTAGACTGTAGTCTTTATGTATCATTTGCAACTTCCCTACGCCAAAACGTATGCTATCTTTTTCTTTGGGAGTGTATGTGACATTGATATCGAACGTGTTAAACAATTAAAAGACATTTAAAATTATTTCTTGTACAAAATAGTTGAAGTTTATATTTCTATTTATATATTTAAAGAAGCTGGGCCCCACTCATTGGGCAAATCGATGAACTCTACAAAACAAAAGTAGAGAAAAGTAATGCAATAGTTATATATTGATTTTGAAAATTTCCCATTAAATGCAAAATCAAATAATCAGTGCAGAATGTCTTTTACTTTATTATTACAGGTACAGCTTCAATTTAACAAACATGTAAAATGCATAAGATAGTATATACTTGAAGTCATTTTTATTATTATCGCAATTTTCACATGGCCAAACGACCTTTTATTATTTCGTGGTACTAAACTCAGCCTTAATGTTTATTGTAAATATCAAAAGTTAAGAACCAATGAAACGTTTTAATGATAAAATCTTAAAAAATTCATTAATCGATTTAGCCAATAAGCGGCACAACTACTATTATATCCCTGGTTGCGGTAGAAGATTTTTCCTTGCCTGAATACATAAGGAAATCATATACAGTTAAATCGTGCGTTGATAAGAAATTCAATACCACGCGAATAGAACGGAAAACGAGAAACAGCTTCGTTGGAATAAGAATGATCTGATTCTAGTGCACGTTTACACGCTGCAGGTTTAGTCGTATCGAACTGGTGCGTGCTGGCGTTCGTGATGGTGACTGTGTGGTGCACGTATGACGCGGCTGGTAGATCGTGGGTGAAAATGAAGAAATATCAGCGCAGCATGAGGGAGGCGGAATCAAGATGCGGTAAATTACATTACAACCGAAGCGGCAGCAGGAAAAGAAACTGGCGACAGAGGTAAGCGTTACGAGGATCCTTCTTTTCATTCTCGGTCTGACTTATTGCCATCCACTTCTACTTACTGAGACTTTCACTCTCATGTTCGTCACTTGCTGTCTCAATTCGAATCGCAGCTGTTCTTCTCATTACGAGTTCAAAACGAGTGGTTATCTCAGAATTGATTCATTAGTTTTTATGTTGAAACGCTTATACACGGTGTCCTATTTGAATCTATAAATGCAATTATCTCTTAAATCAGCGACTTCGAAACTGGGATGCACGAAAAGTTTAACAGAAATGTAATTTTTATAACATAACATTTATAAATTAAACAGTATGTACATGTAAATAAACTTTCATAACATAATATTAAATTTAATAACCTATTTTTTAAAGCATTAGCATGATAAATGGAATTATCATATGAAGGTTACTACTATTGACGTAATTTTTTTGCACCAACCGATGCAGCAGGTTATGTTTTTCAAAAAAATATTAACTTATCTATGTCTAAAACTCATAAAAAATAGCATTTGAGACATTTTTTTAATACTGAATAGTTTCAGAAATAATTCCATTCATATATTAAAATGGAGCACTCTGTGTATATACAATTGGTTCTACAATATACAATTTTTTTCTTACGAATGTATGTATGTACTATAAATATATTAAATACAAAAATATATTGCCTGGAAAGCAAAACAGTTTTACGATTGTTGTTAACAGTTATTTACAAGAACCATTGCTGTTATTGCCAACAATAATTATGCCACAATTGTTTATTTTCCTTTTAATGTTTTGTGAATAAAAGATTTAAATTAAATGGTTTGGTAATAATAATTTGTCAAACTGTATTTTTATTTAAACAATTATTCAGGTTAGCGTATTTAAATACTTGAATAATTATATATTAAAAAATTTGTAAATTAAAATGTGGTTATATTCTAATATACTGGGAACAAAAATTTCTGTTTTTGATACTTCGTCTGACAAAAGATTAAAAGATTATGATGATGAATTTTATAGAAATTTTAATTGACTGCTGTATCTCTCGCATTGTTCATTTTATTATTTATGAGGTGTTATTGGGGTCGGCAAAAATTTCAAGCGTTATGGGTATTTCTAATTAAAATTTCTGGCGAAACGCATCAAGTAAATAGCATATCTACAGGAACGTGACACAATCGATATTAATATTGCACCTCCGGAATGCGACAGTCCATAACTAATAATTAAAGTATCCATTAAGTAATGATCTGAATATTCTCACTATAAACATCCGACGTTATTTGTAGTACAAAAAAAATATGACAGAAAATATGCGATATCATTTTCAACTTGTCTCATAAAATAGGGAATAAAAAAAACATTCGAATAATTAATTTTTTACTAACTAAATAAAGATGAGAAATAGTTTATTTAAACAAAAGAAATGCATTATTGACATAAATCTATAAAGATCAAGAATAATATATTCGGATAGAAAAATCAATTATTTGAACAAAGGAGGATACATTATCGAAATAAACGGAACTTATTTATCTAATAATCTCAAATACTTATTTGAATCAATGGAAATACTATCAAGCACTGTATTTTTAACACTCTGCCGGCAATATGGACCATGGAAGGTCTGCTGAAAATCTTATTTCTTCATAACTTCACCACAATTTTTAATTTCTATTGCAAAATGAAAGGAAAATTTGGGTAAAATATCATTTGTGTGTTAAAATAGGGACTATAATAAGTATCTCAAAATATTTCCAGATTTTTACTGAACTCCTAACAATAAAAAATTAAGCCTATCCATAACAGTTGTATATTGCTATTATTAAAAGAAGAAAAAAACTCCACGTTTATTCAGAAGTATTACAATTAACCCTGTGCGGTCGAATGCCATCATAGTGGAAACTTCGAGCTTTGGTATTTAAATTCGGAAGCTGCAAATAAATAATGTAATTATTCCATTAGCGAGAGATTGATATGTAGTTTCCGTTTTTCTAGTATTCACGACTTCGATGCATAACTCAGCTTTTTCGTGAAAAATGTTTTTAAAAGTTTAACAAACTCGTCTGCTGAGGGTTAATAATAGAAAAATAATATTCAATATTGACTTAAAGAAATTAAGTGGCATTTATACTTGTTAAATGCTACTTGAAATCTTCGTTATAAGCTGACACGATATTGTAGAGCAAGGGGTTAAAAACGACCACTTAAAAATAACTGAAAATTCCTTGTTCCAGAAAAGTGATACGCGCGTACCAGGATAGCTGGGACAACAGGTGCAGGGTGTTGTTCTGTTGCATGGGTAATTCTGACAGGAGTCGAGTAAGTATCCATCAGAACTGACGAAGCTACCTTTCACGTAACAACGTGATCTGGGTTTAAATTTAACGCATTCATTGACTTATCTGGTTAACTGTATAACTGGCGCCAAAATCTTTTCAGATGAATATTATCTACTGAGCATTAGTATAATAAAATAATTACTTATATATTAACACTAAAACTACCACAAGTCACAATGACTGGTTTCGAATTGTTTGTTTCGCAATTATTATCTTAAAAGCATTGAATATTTGAAATGATCTTGAAAATAAATAGTTTCACTTGAATACTATAATGAATGTTTGAAGATACTGAAAGTAATTTATTGTTAGAATTTTTATAGGGATTACACATTAATCGTATTAAATGCTCGGCAGTTCTAGTGTTAATTAATATAATTAACATACGTATCCCTATAATTGCATCCAACAAAATTGATATAAAGTTTTATCAAATAATTTTTATCAAATACAGTATCCGACAATTTTCCTTAAATCTGCTGTTAAATCTATATAAATACCGTGTTTTCTGAGTTTGCTTAACCTCTTAACCTGAAATTTATTTCATAACTACACTCTCAAGAATTGCTTTGTCATTAATAATTTACTGGAATCAAATATCCATATTCATCCACATTTACGTTCACTTTAAAATGTAACAATTGGTAACAGAGACACAATATTTCATTTGAACTCATGAAAATCGAGATTTCTTTATTTCTGTTAATTTCAATTTGAGATCTTCCTCACGAGTCTAACATATTGTATATATTGGGTCTTTAATTACTACACAATAGAAACGACCTAGGCGCATAACGTTTTGAGTTTTTAATAAATTACACTTTTATTGAACACAAATCGCAATTTAACACATTCGCTACCAGTGTTGTACATTTGCAGCTTTCAATGTTTCATATTTTCTGCATCGAAGAGCAAATCACATTCACTATTTAATATTATCAATTAATATTATATTATATAATAGAGATCTTTTTCTTGGTCATTATTTATATATTCTCGAGGTGATATGTTTTACTTAATAAAATATTGTAGCCACGGAGACTTATTAAAAGAAATAGTGGGACCAAATGGGTTGCTCAAACTGCAAGACATGTAAAATATGAATGTAACATAATACCAAAGTAGTGTCCCAAACAACAAAGAAAATACAATATACTAAATATCTCGATATACATCGATTCATATACACTTGTCTACTAATCGCCTTTCACGTTAGCTCCATCAGTCACCAAGCTAAAACTGCACAGAGGCAAGGGAATTCTTCCACTTACGATGCTCAGACTGCTTCGCGTTTCGACGCATGATCGAATCGACGCCCATATTCATTTCCAATCGTTATATCTCGCTTTATCGTATTTTGTTTCATTTGCGATCTTCGTTTATGCGAATCAACCAATAACAAAAGCGGTCGAAACCAAGGCGTCAACGTCTATGGCGAGTGGACGTGCCTCTTTGCCGCCCTTGCGGCAAGTTCTCTTTGGTTCAAAACTGAAGACATCTGAAGAGACGTGGTCTGTGGACAGTAAGTACGTCTCACTTCATCGCAATCGGCCTCGCTTCCATCTTTTGTTATTGCTGCGCACCAATAGTGGCCATGCGTCGAAAGGCGAAGCAGCCCGAGCATGTGGAAGAAACCTCTTGCTCCTGTCCACTTTTAATTTGATGAGCGATAGGGCTAACGTGAGAGACGTATAGTAACAATATGGCGGTCAACACTTTCAACGATGAATTTGTCAGAAGGATAATTTCGTAATTCGCAGAACTCGTTCGCTGACATCGCGAGGTTGCTGAGCGATTTCTTCCGCGACCTTGACGTGGTGCCATCAGACGTGGTCGCCGGCCTGGTGCTGTTGAGGAAGTTCCAGAAAATCGAGCGCGAGCTGATCGTGAAGCAACGGAAAAACGACACGTACGAGTTTCTGTCCGGCGTGCCAGTTACTCCCCGCACGAAATTCCTGTCCTTGACCGAGGACGGTGATCTGGGCCATTTTCAGTCTGCCATTCATTACATGCACTTCGCTCTGGCTGCTTATGGCTGGCCCATGTTCCTCGTTAATCACTCGTCCGGCCTCTGTCAGCTGTGCGCAAGGTAACGTCGCATCGTCGTCGTTCAGGATCGCGTCCGCATGCATGCATATGTAACCATGTGCATAAGTACCGTGTGTCGTCACGGCGACACCGTTCCCATCGATTTTCACCGGTGTCTCGTGCCGTTTGCCGACAGAATGATTGACTTTCCGTCATTTGACGCGTTAACTGCCACAAGAATTTTGATTGTTTCGTATGATACTTATTCTTTCGTAGCAAAGACATACAGGGTGGACCACGAAGCGTAATCAGCTTTGATTAGTCTGCTGCTAACGGTTCGATTGGACATTTTCTTAGTTAAAATAACATGATTCAAGGAGAGCTTTAAGATGATTCTACCAAATTTTTTGTCAACCCTTTTTTTCCAGAGTTATCAAGGGGCTCTTCTCGTGAACAACACGGAGTATGTTACACTATTATTTAGTTACTTACATCATTAAATATTTTTATTCTCATCAGTCATCTTTCATGTTGCAACTGCTTTTAAGTAATTTGAACGCATCGGCTATCGGTGACCACGGTGGCAGTCAACGTGTTAATAACGACCGCCGTTACTTTCAACGCGATCCTGCTAGACGCTGAGAATATTCATGAAGCGTAATCTGTGATCTTTATTGGGATTAAGGGGTCATTCTAGTCTAATACCACTGAAAGTCGGTAACATTTATCATTTCTTTTCTTTCCGTTGTTTCTTATTTTTTTTGCAAAGAAATGGAATTATAACTTCAATTCTTTTTTGGTTTGTTCATTGCATAGTTACACTACAGCAGAGAATTTATGAGATAACTTTGAGTATGTATTTTTAGTAAATTATTTTGTACTGAATAAGGGGTGTTTCAAAAATTGCATTTCGTTATAGGTGGTAATCTTTTATTACAAACTGAATTGTGCAAAAAAAAGTAGATTTTTTATCTAAATGAGTGCTGCTAAAGTTTCTGCAATCTTTAGTAAAATATTGAAAATTAATACAACTATTTATGTTGTACATATTGAAATATTAGCTTTTTTGTGATATTTTGATGATAAAAATTTAGAATTTTTAATATAGAATTTTAATTATATAATTTAAAAAACATCAAACTTTTGAAGTAATTTAAAATGCTGAGAAAATAATTTTCGAATTCCGTTAGAAAAATTTAACCATGTATCCTTGAAGGTTCGTATTGGAAAAAATATAGAAAATCGATTTTCTGGCCACACTGACCCCTTGAGGCACTTTGTGTAACGGAATAAAAATTGAGTGATTGTTTGAAATTTGCTCTGTGGGAAACTATACGATATATTTCTTTGACATTTTGAAAACAGCTTATCGTATTTCAATGCGGATGACAACAAAAATTTTTTTCATCGCAAAAATGTATTTATCGTAGAAATAAAACTGTACGTTCTGAACGTTGGCATGCAATGTAGCGTCGCTTGTATTCGTTCGAAACTAAAAATTCAAAATGTTTTTATTTTTTCATAGAATTTCGTATTTTTCCACCTATTTTTGGAGAAAACAATGCAAAGTTATGAAAAAGACATTTCTGTAGATATAAAAATGAAGAAAAAAAAATTGAATTTAAAAAAACGTGTTTAAAGTTATGATAATCAATAGAAAAAAATGTGAGTGGTTATTTATAGAATCATATGGTATTCCCATTAATTTTTCAAATTTCCTTCTAAAACGTATGAAATGTCTTAACATGTTTAAATATTATTGCACAAATAAAAAATTCGATTTATCCTGTTACACGAAATGCTTCCTTTAACCCTAAAAAGATGAAAGTAAAATTATTATTAAATATGTATTATGCATGTAATATAAAGTACGTCAAAATATTATTTATCGTCGCTTATGCCGTTAAAATTTATGTTGAAGATTTATTTACAGTTTATTAAAGCTATTACAAGCTATTCCAAATAATTTTGTTCAATCAGTACGTCTTTTTAGGATTAATAAATACATTTTAATCATAATTAATATTTTTCAATATTATTCAGCTCATCCCTTCAATCACGGGTTCATTTTCTTACTTTTCACGGCTGTCAATAAATGTGCATGTAAATATCAGTGCAGCGAAATCAATTCCGCAGGTGGTTCCTGTTGATTGTTCGGAAGTGTCGATCAGTTTATTATGTGATAGGTGGCATTTAGCGCGTGGTTAACAAGGTGACCATATTAAATTTTCTAAAATAATATGTTAACGCAAGTCCACTAAACCAATTTAATAATATCATTTCAGAAGTATTATTAAACCAAAGCAGAAGTTTTTGTTTACTAAGGTTTTTTATATTAAATTTTGTAAAAAGTGTTTTGATTTTTTAGCAGAACGTTATAAAGTAATTTTAGAAAACATATATTTGATTGCTTATGATTTAAAATTTGGTTCAATTTATAGTAGACATTTGAACTTTCCATTCCATTCCAATCATATTTGTTACAAATATTTTCGTAGAGATCATGTTAACGATAAATATAAGTTTTAAATCTATCTATAAATTGGAAATTAAAATGAATTTTTTTCAATTCATAGTTTATGGTATTATTCGTGAAAAAAAATCTAAAAATAGATTTTATATTTAAAAGCCACCAAAAACATATGGAATAGTATTATTTCATATAATGCATCATATTTTTTGTTTCAATACCATTTATTATTTTTTTTCACGCTACTATTTTATTAATAATTGTTTTTATCTTGCATTAATACTCACAAATATATAGGCAATAAAAGTATATTATTTATTTTTCCTAACAATTTCCTCTGAAAATAGTAAGACCAATAAAAAGTGACTAATGTCCCGCAACGTTTTGCCAGTATACTACATATATTTCAAGTAGAAACAGTGAGTCATGGACAGACACATTAGTCAGATAAATTCAGATGCACGCGTGCTCGATAAATTTCCGTGTTCGATTTTCTCGGAAACGAAACTCTACAGATAGATGAAACGTTATGCCGTAATATTAATTGGTTTTTCTCGTGTAAAATTATTTTCATTTCACTTTTACTATGAAGAGACTGAATTTGATATGTACGATGAAGTGCCTGTGTATATTTGTGTATTTACAATTGTTTAATATTTAAATATCAGACAAAATACGCTGCAGTGATTTTATTACAGTTATGCATCATTTCTATACAAAAATTATGTAACTAATGTATACTAGTTATCCTTATAATAATTAAAAATTTCACATTTCTGACTCGGATAATATGAGATTTTTTTATATTTTCAAAAAGAATCGTTCTAAACATCATTAAACAACTGACAAAACAAACCATCATGACTTTATAATTAAAGTAACAAAAAATATGATCACCAAATAATTAATGAATGAACACGGAAGTGTTTCCAGTTTTTCACTTTAAAACTTGCCTCCACGTCACATAACTCAACGATAATTTATCATATCACTCCATTAATTTCTTTAAAAGAAACCCTATGGAAGCATCAAAATAGTACTCACATGTACAATCAAGACATTACAAACAATTCCAGAAAAAATTAACAAAACATCTGTCTGTAGTAATAAAATTAACCCTTTGCACTCAGAAGTCACCTTCCAGTTGACATTTTAAATACAATATCGAAACCACTGCATACAAAGGGAGCAAATATTGTGTCACCCTCAGCATAGGACCACGAACAATACAAAAGTAACAAAAGTAAGAAAGCACAGGCATATGATGGTCGAGATAACAGGCATAACGGCGGAAACGCAGACGCTAAGATTAATTTAGAATCCTGTACGTTGAACCCGTGATTCGAAGGTGGATAGTCGAGATGCCCGAAATGATTGGCAGCGAGGGGACTCCCCGAATTTCTCGGGGAGACGAATCGTTCGCCGGATAACGGTGCTGGAATCTTGTCCCGCAGATTACGATGCGGCTGTTTCCCGTGCGGCCGGCACCAGGACGACGCGACCGTGGTCGAGGACAATTGTTGCCAGTGCAATTACGTCGCGCTGAGGAAGATGGTCGACGTCGCCGAGGTGGAGGTCATTTACGCGACTTTCCACGTCGACGTCGGTGAGACGCCGTTCTTCGTCGCGCTCGATTTCACGAGGAAAAAGGTTTCTCCGCGTTCCTTTATCGATTCGCATGCAACCGCGCGACTCGACGGTACCGCGAACGACGACCGAGAGGAAATCCGCGCCCACAGACGAAAAGAAGTTTCAGGGACTGGAAAAGATTCGGCTTCCGAGAATAACTGTTTCGAACTCTTACACAGGGTGTCTCAATTTTGTTTAGTTAACGCTAGAAGCATCATAATAATTGGTTTATTTCGCAATTATCTTAAATTCATGTTTATTTTGAAATGTAATTAATAATTATCTACAATTATCTTGGAAACGTTAAATATCCGAAATGATTTAAAAAGTAAATAATTTCACTTGAATACTGTGATCAATATACGAAGAAATTGAAAGAATCTATTGTTACCATTTCTATAAGGATTACATATTAATTGTATTAAACGCTCGGTTGTTCTAGTGTAAAGAATTCTAACTTGGCTGTTGCAGGACGTTTCACGGTCGAACACCTCCCACCATGATATGTAGCAGTTCACTCTTTTGTTTAACTTTTGTTTAACTAAACCTGCCGCGATGGGTTAGATGACCGGTTTTAAAATATGATTTAAAATTCTGCGTTTTTCTTCGTTTGTTTAATTTCATAACAATTCCTATATTCTACGGTTAATTAGATTTTCAATTTTTGTCTTTCCTTTTGTTTCTGGTTCCGACAAGAAAAAATTATTTACCCTTATTTTATAATAAATTATTTGATTGATTACTGGTAGGAATAGGTATACACAAAGTGTTCAAACATTTAGTGTTAATATATTTGTTCGTATCATTTATAATTTTTCAGATAATTTCGTACTTTCAATTTCGGTGTCTTTCAAAATAAAGTCTATCTTTGTTTTGGACGCCACGGAGATTTCTTATGTCCACTAGGATTTTTTTACTCACAAGGAAAGTTATCGAACCTGGAAATTCAACAAATTATGAAACTTTGCGTGTAAGTAGAGTAAGTCAAGTCTAATACATTGCAACCTTTTTCGCCCGAATTGCATTTTGAAGGAACGAAACTACCTCTTGAAAAAATGTAAATTTTTCTTTCTCGTGGATTATCTGAATGACAGGTAAGAGATAGTCAAAAATAGTTTAAACAAAAAATACATTGTTCTTCCACGTCTACAAAATTGCAAAATAAAATTTTTCAAAAAGTTCAAATTTTATTTTGCAATATTGTAGAAGTGGAAGAACAGGGTGTCTTTTGTTTAAACTTTTTATCGCTCTTTTATCATTCCGGAGGTAATTCACGGAAAAGAAAAATTTGTATTTTTTCAAAGGGTGGTTTCACCCCTTCGAAGTGAAACTCGGCATGAAAAAAATTGCAATTTATTAGGCCTGACTTATTCTACTTCCACAAAGTTTCATAATTTGTTAAATTTCCAGGCTCCGTAACTTCCCTTATCAGTTTAATGAGCTCTACACGCCCTTTTATTTATAAGACATAATTTTTCAACACTCTGTATATCAATTCTAACTGAAACAGTTATGAAAACCGAAAGAATATTCATAACGGATGCGTTGGTTTTGACCCATATCAGTTTCGATTTTGGTTTTTTGAAACCAATATTGTATCAGTTTCATAGCTGTAATTTTCGATTCTGTATCGGATATGATTCGGTTCTACACTGCAGGTAACGACTGGACTGCGGATCTCTATGCAAATTAACATTTTAAAAAATATAATTACAAATATATAAATACGATAGAAATTGGTTGTTCTAAACAAACATTGTATAAATCACTTCACTTTGGATATTTTATATGTTTCTTTGCGTCATGTGCATTTCTTATATTTATACACTTCCAAACTTTCCATAAATGAATAAAAATCACTGGTTTACTAATGATCGATACAGGATCGGAAATAACAATTGTAGAACATAAAGCCTATGTAAAACGGAAAGACAAAAGTTATGAAATCAATATAGAACTGATATAATATCGGAGAGCCGAACCCGAAATCGTTACGAGTCAGAACCGATACATCCATAACCGCTGTGGATATTTTTTCGATTCTTGTAACAAGGGTTGTATGTATTTGTATGTATTTCAACCCCTTGTCCCATGATTTCTTTGATAACTGCAAACTAATAATTTACCAGAAAATAAAGAAATATACCAATTCATGTGTATTCCCCTTTGATTCAGAACATTGGAAAATAATGATAGAAAAATAGTATTTAATTTTAACCCAAAATAATTGAGTGACATTTCATTTTTGTAACTTCCATTTGAGAACTTCCTCATCAGTCTGACTCGATAGTATACAGCAAGGAGATAAGGATGCTGTCATTTGATTTTTAACTATACTAAAATTGTTAAGTAAAGAAATCAGTTCCTATTTAATCCTTGTTTCTTTTACACTATTTATACCGCTATATTTCGTGTGTACCTATATTTACCAAGAAATAATTTGATAAAATCTATTAATTGAATCAATTTAATGAAATCTAATAAATAATTTAATATAATACAATAGAAACATGTACCGCTAAAATAATTTTATCACTTTTATGAGAAAAGTTAAAAACTCAATTGAGGAAACTGATTAAACTCAGAAAAGAATTTTTCACACCTCGATAAAAATAGTGTTAAATTACTTCGAGGAATTTTCGTTTTGCACAAGAGTCCACTCTCTACTCGTGCTAACTGTTTTATGAACCGAAACCGATATCATAAATGTTTTCACTACATGAGAAGAATGAAAAGAACGAGGGGATCGCAAAACAATTTACCATAACATCCTTCACTGGCGCTCGTTCGCGTACCGTCGATCGCACGATCGCGTTAATTGATTCCGAATTTTCGACCGCACGAAGCATCAAAGCGATTCTTGCCGTACACTTGCGCCGTATTTCGGGAATTTAATTGGGAACTAAATGGATCTCGTTAAACCGGTCGCTCTATGAATTTTTCATCGAACGCTCGATATGAAGATCATACGCGATTTCGACTTACCCGTGTGCGTGGGACTCGCGTGTCTGCATAATTGTCTAATTGGAAAAAAGTTATTTGGTGTATCAGAAAGTTTTGTGAGTTTGTTTTAACAAAAAGTAAGTTATGAAAAAGAATTAAAGAATTATTTCTAAAAAATGGAATAATTATTTAAAGAATAGCAATTTATTCGTTATTTAAAAAAGGATAATTTAACAATTACTGAAAAACGGATAATTTAATAATTATTTTATAAAAAAATAATTTATTTCTTAGCTTGAAGTACAATAACTCATTTTCTTACGTATCAAAAACATAACTAGAAACAAAAGATACCTGAAAAGGGATGAAATTCTTGAAAAAATTCCAGAAATTCGTAAGAACTGTGCAAACAGAACTTTCTGTTTAACCCAATACAACGGTGATTCTTGCTGTCAATAATTTATAAATCATATAGATATTTTTTTTTATATTTGAGTTTATTGTAAGGTGATCACATTAACAGTAAAACCATTAGTGACCACCAACATTTGGACACATTAGTTATTATTTAATAATACTTAATACATAATAACTTATTGTATATTAATATACTAGTTGTATGAATAATAATACAAGATTTTCGGAATAGACATAACTTTTACGTAAATATTGCAACTTTTGAATGGAAGATATTACCTTTAGTGGAAGAAGAATAATATAATTAGTGAAGTGATGTGTGTTGATTTTTGTGAAAATTTGGTAAAAAATTATATTAAAAATATTTTTTTTATGGAGTATGTAGTGGCAGCGTTCACTATTAGGTTCATTATCGTCTTTAAAATTTTTTTAGATTAATAACTGATAAACGTTCTTAGAGAACAGTATAATATAAAGTTCAATGGAAATGAATACAAATTTGCAATATTTTTGCATGTTTATTTTTCTCGCGATTTCTTTGCAGAAGCAGGAACTTTCATAAAAATTTACAGTTTAATATGAATATTTATTCCATTCGTATTCTATTCTTAATAAAAGCAAGAATCACTGGAGTACTGTAGACTCCCATATATTAATGTATAATGAAGTAAACATGAAATTCTTATAATATTAGGTTGATCGCGAAGGTTTGTTGCTGAATTTTACCTTCAGATTCTTCAAGCATATATTTCTTTCAAATGTTGTAATATGAGTTATAAAAATGTGATATGATGCTGCAGTAAAAACTGTTTCAGAAGAAAAAATTTTTCGATGTTATTATTTTGTAAAAGTGTCGGATGAAAAAATCTTCTGTGAGAACAACTGAAAATTTAATTTTGAGGACGAACCTCGTACCGAAAAACCAATACCGCAAATGATGTTATTCGAGAAGAATTAAAAGCAAAGAGTATTGTAACAATGGATTTACGCGGAACATTAATTAATAGGTCGTTTTCTCAACGAACCAAACTTTTCGATGAACCTAATGTTTAATTTCTTAATTAGCGAAGCATTTTCTCATTTCCCATTCTTGTTTAATCTTATAAATTGTAGTTTATCTTTTGTGTGACTGCTTGTGTTCAGAATAATCACTTCTATTCTGTTAGTTGATTTAATTTGCAATAAAAAATATAGGTAATAGCAAACACTGCTGCGACAGAATGATAGCACAGCTTCAAAGTTTCTCTTAAGTGATGTACTAGGTATTATATATTTTATTATTAACAATTAAATTCAAGTATAAATAACTATTAAAAAAAAAATTTATTAACAAATCAGTGTAAACTACAGTATATAACATATGAAGCATAATACATATATTAAATTGCAAACATAAATATTATTTTTCAACATGACACGCATCAAAGTCTGTAAAAAAGTACTTTAATCAGAAAAATATGAAAATTTAAAGATGGCCAGCATTATTAGAAGCTTGAATATCATTGATAATTATTAGCACAATTCGCAAGATCTATTACTTGCCAAGGGAAGGGTACTGAAAAACTAAAGACTCATAAACCGAAAATTTGTTAAAAAATGATTAAATTTCTGTTAGGATATTCAGTATAAATTAAATAAATTAAAAGCGAATCTATATCATAATAAAATAATATTTTTCTATGCTTGTTAAATATTGGACAAGCAATATGTATTATTTATGCATTAATTTCCAAATATTCTCCAATCTAAATAATTTCCAATTAATTAATAATTAAATTCCTTAAATTAATCAATTTACATTATTTTGTTTTTCTTACTAAACACTACAAATACCGAAAGCAATACAATCTGTCGCTTTCAAAATTAAAAAAAATATTTACACGGTGTGCTATATTTCGTCGCAGACTCCATTAAAAATTCTTTATTAATTTGAATATTAACCTATTGATTCTATATTAATTTGATGAAACAATAGTTTCATCAAAAACAGATTATTAAATTTCACGTGAGCGGTCTTGAACACGGCAGTCCTTACACTCTTCAATGAGCAGAGTTCTTCTTCGATTATTAAAACCAGTCAGACGAGAAAATTAACCCGCCTAATAACGCACTTCCTAACGATCGCTTTCACTCCGAACTAGAGCGAGCTTAAGCTGGAATGTTTAATTACCAATCTCGTGTTCCCTCTCCGGTCTGGTTTTTAAGGTGGTCGTGAGTATACGAGGCACCCTTAGCATGAAGGACGTGCTAACGGATCTGAACGCAGAGGGTGAAGTGTTACCATTGTCACCGCCAAGGGAGGATTGGCTGGGTCACAAGGGGATGGTTCAAGCCGCCGAATATATCCGTAAAAAGCTGCTCGAGGAAGGAATCATATCCCGCGCTTTGGCCAAGGTACCGTTTTCCACGAGTCGTTGCATTCGTTTAACCAGTTAATTGCGTTTGACAAATGTACACGTCATCTTAAAGCTTGAAATTATACTAATTCTTTATTTTTCCAGGTAAACATGTAATTCTTCTTCGTTTCGCTTTGGTTTTTCATTAAAATATCATTTTTTAATTTTATTGTGCGCAAAACAAAAGATTTTTCAAAATAAATACCACAGTTAACAGATTAACACTAGAACTATCGTGCCAGTCAAAATGTCTGATCCCGG